AGCTGTAGTTGAATCGGAAACATGTTTTTCTTAAGTCTATCTGGTGTTATTGAGAACATGTTGCTTAAGCTTTTTAATGTATTGACAACATACTCATTAGGTCATCCGTTAAAGGTAACATGATTGTTGCTACAGGTTATGCGGGTTTTGGCAACATACTTGTTTTGGTCATTTGGTTAAGGGCAACATGCAGATTCATTCAAAAACTCAAGTGACTGTTTTTATGATAAAGCCTTTGAATCATTCAATCAATCTGTTCAAAAACATTCTGTTTCATCCACAAATGAAACAACACTTTTTTTAATGAATCATTGAATCATTCATTTAAGCGATTTGCTTAAAAATGCTAATTCATTTGTGAAATACCAGACTATCTTTATGAGAGAGTCGTTGAATGTTTCGTTCAACCAATTTGTTCAACAAAAATACTAATTCATGCAGGAACTAAACAAGAGGCTTCTTTATGAACAAGTCCTTGAATCATTCATTTTATTAATTCAAGAGATTTATTCAAAAACTCAAGTAACTGTTTTTAATGATTAAGCCTTTGAATTATTTATAATCAATCTGTTCAAAACATTGTGTTTCATTCACCAACGAAACACCTTTTTTTAAGTCACTGAATCATTCATTTTAGTGATTTGTTTTAGTAATTTTAGTGACTCTCTCATTTCTTTATGAGAGAGTCACTGAATGGTTCATTCAACCAAAAATACTAATTCACGCAGGAACTAACCAAGACGCTTCTTTATGAATGAGTCCTTGAATCATTCATTTAATAGATCCGTTTAAATACCTTGTTAATTTACATGAATTTATTAAATACAAACATTTAACTAATCTGCTTTAACAAGTTTATTCATTCATGAACAAAACAGTAGACTTTATGAGTGAGTCACTGAATCATTCATTCAAGTGAATTTGTTTAAAAAAGCTAATTCGTTCAGGGACGCAATGTCTTTATGACAGAGTTATTTAATAATTCTCAAAACAATGAATCATTCAGGAACTATTTTGACTGACGGAGGCAAAAACTAATATTTTTTCTAAAATCTACAACTTTAATACTGTATACTAAACGACGCTTGAAAAATGACTGGGAAATGCAGTGTATGTGTTGAATGGACCTCTATGACAAACCTTCAGTTGCACCTCTTGACACAAAAAACCTGCTTCTTCATGATAATTGGAGCTCCAGGATACATATAAATGCTTTGTTGAAAAATTAATTAGTCTGTATTTCCCAGTATTTTTCGAGCCGCTCCTCTCCTTGAGAAAGCTGAAGCTTGTCGTTTTGCTGTCACCGCCTTCAGCCCTGATAACACAGCGTGACCCAGCACTGCTGTCACACCGCTGCCAGCTTTTCCTCTACCTCACAAAATGGTGTCACCTGCCATCACCCGCCCGAGGCAGAAAGCTCTGCGTGTGTAGGTGTTTAGTTGACGGAGCGTCGTATCTACTGAAATTCAATGAACGTGTCTGTGTGCAACCATTCAAATTGCTCCGAAGCTCCAAATACAACACATGTCCAAAAATTGCCTTCAAGCTATGCAAACGTGAATTCTGAAGGAGTTTTAATCTGGGCAACCTACGAAACACTAGCTGAGCATCAATTTGTTTTTGACAGATGACAACGGCTGGTAAAACTTTCTCTTTTATCACTTGTTTCAAGCTTGTTTTCTTTTAGAGGATGTGTGACGCGCCGTACATGAAATGCGGTGGATTATGACGCACAACGTGTTGTTTTCCAAGATCAAGACTCTAGATTAAAATGTAATGGAAAGTCTAGGGGAGGCAGGGACTAGCTGTCACAAACTCTATATCTCAGTAAGGTCATTTCTAAGCTCTCTTAATTATAGTCATTTCTGTGAATTCTGTCTTTTAAACAAGATTTGAATACCATAATATCATATTATTTTTTTTATTTATTTTAAGAAATACTTTTATTCAGCAAGGATGCATTAAATTGATCTAAAGTGACAGTAAAGACATGTATAATGTTACAAAGATTTATATTTCAAATAAATGCTGTTCTTTTTAACTTTGCATTTATCATAGAATCTACGTATTCTATTTATCATAAGAAAAAATGCATTGTTTCCACAGAAATATTAAGTAACACAACTGCGTTCAACACTGATGATAATAAGAAATGTTTCTTGAGCAGCAAATCAGCATATTAGAATGATTTCTGAAGGATCA